CGAGATTAAAGTTGGAGGGGCAGCAGCTTTAGATCAGTGTTTCCCAAACTTAGCCCGGCTGTCTGGGGAATTCTGGGAGTTGAAGTCCACAGGTCTTAAAGTTCCCAACATTGAAAAACTCCACTCTAAACCCTCTTTTCCTCGCCCAGCTCTGGTTCAAGCTTACATTTGCTCTCTCGTCCTCCCCAGATGTGGTTTTCTTCATTTACCTCTACCAGCGGTGGATCTACCGGGTGGATCTAACCCGCATGAATGAATTTGGCATCAGTGGGGAGGACCAAGCAGGAAGGACAACGACGACCATGAGCATAGCTCAGCCAGACGGTATCCCTCCAGCGTTGGCCAGCAGCCCACCGGGGGCTAAAGCCGAGGCTCCCGTCAACAGCCTTGCCAACGCAGCGGTAGAGAGAGGAGCTGGAGAGACCCCCACTGCCAACTCAGGGGGCTCGCCCGATGCCGTCCCCGAAGCCCTCCCGGTCAAAACGGCAGAGGAGAAGAAGAAAGATTAACCCGCTCTTTTATTTTTTAAAAAAATTCCTAACTGGACACTCTCACTGTTGGATAATGGACAGGAAGCGAACGGGTAGGGGGCTGGGCGGAGGCAGAGTCGTTTGGGGTCTTCCCGAGCTCTTTATTTTATATTCCAGGAAAACTGCTGGGGGGGGGGGGAGACAGGCAGGAGGTGGGGGGAGGAGAGGGGTCAGTCAGCCAGAGCCACGAGGAGACCCCTTGAAATGTGGAAGTGAAGTGTGACATGTTGTATCTGTTGCGAGAGAGACCTCACCTCACCCCCCTCCCACCCACCCACCCACCCAAACCCCGCTGTAGATTTCTGTGTTTGAACGCAAATCCTCCCGGCCAGTAACCAATCATTGTGAGCGCCATCTCCATCATGCGGGTCATTCAGACGTTCGGTCGTTTTCCGGAGTTCGTTTCCTGCCAAGTTTTTGTGTGTCTCCGTGTCATATATAAAAAAAGAGAGCTGATGCCACCCATGCCAACGATACCGTTTCTCATCACTGCATTCCCGAGAAGGACGATGGATTGAATAAATTCATATGGGTGTTTATGTTTAAAACAAAACAACTGAGAAACCAACCGATTCTCTTTTGGGGGGGGGGCACCTCCTGTTGCTTCTTGGCGGGATTCGGGAGAAGGCCTTTGAGGAAGGGGCTCTTGGGGGGGTGGGAGAGGTTGCAGAAGGCTGGGTCTTTGGGGGAACGGCAGAAAACTAATGAAAACCAAAAGTGGAGTTAGTGTTGCTTAAAAAATGCTCCGTGTTTGTAGCCAGGATGGGGGGGGGGTCCTTTTACCTCCAAAATGGAGATGTATCGATGTGTTATTGTGTGCAGGTAGTCCTTCGACTTATGAGCACAATTGAGCAATTTCAGTTACTAAGCGAGACTCTTGTTAAGCAGTGAGTTTTGCCTCATTTTATGACCTGTCTTGCCACAGTTGTTAACAGATTCACTGCAGCTGTGAAGTTGGTAACAACGGTCATGAAGCAAATCTGGCCTCCCCATTTGATCTCGCTCGTCAGAAGTTCGCCAAAGTGGATCACAGGACCCGGGATGCTGCAGCCATCCTAAATATGAATTAAAGTGTCCTAATTTTGATCACGTAACCATGGGGGGGGGGTTGCTTCAATGGTCATACCGTGTAAAAAAACCGATCATTGGTCACTTTTCTCAGTGCTGTTGTAACTTTAAATGGTCACTAAATGAATGTTGTAAGTTAAGGACTTACCTGTATTGACTTACATAGACCTAACTTGGGGTTTATCAATCTCGGGCCTCTTTAAGATGCACGGACTTCAACTCCCAGAGTGCTGCCTGAGGAATTCTGGGAGTTGAAGTCCACAAACCTTTAAATTGCTGAGATTGAGAAAGGCTTCTCTAAGGGGTCAAAGGCGCCCTCGTTGGATTGGTGAAGGGCGGGCTTTGTCGAGGGCAGGGAATAACGGCAGAAGCTGGCTTATACTGGCAGCTTAACGGCATGTAGTCCTCAACTTACGACTGTAACTGAACCTGGAATTTAGATTGTAACTTGTCCTGGTCATTAAGCAGGTCACCATGTGACCGTGTCCGGTTTTGCTGCCTTTTTGTGCAGCAGTCCTTAAAACGAACGCCACAGTTGTTAAGTGAAACTATTATCCGCCGTGGGCGATTTCTGCTGGAAACGGAAAGTAAACACTGGTGACTGGGAAAGAAGAAGAACATTTTAAATTGCAGTCACGTGACCATGGGACACTGCACATGGCTGCAAATACCGGCTAGTTTCTGAGCACCCAAAATGCAATCACTTGACTGCAGGGGGCAGGGGTGTGTGTGTGGGGGGGAAACTCCAAATCCAGGTCATAAGTTTCCCTGGAGAGATTGGTAACTTTGAATGGTCATTAACCAACTGGTCGTAAGTCAAGGATTACCTGTATTGAAATGTCTGGGTTCCTTGCAGACATTTCGTGACCCAACTAGGTAACATCATCAGTGCTATAAGGGAGTGGGGATTGTTTCTGTTTATATACAAAGAGTTTGCTCTGTAAATGTTGGTGGGAGGGATCTTTTGGGGTTCCTCGATTAGGCTATGGTTTACTGTCGGCTTGTTTGTCTGCCTTGATAATTCCTTGAGTGATCAAAATTGACAGTAGACCAATAATCAAATAAACACCCCAGTTAAGGAACTATCCATTCAGACAAACTAGCTAGCGGTAAACAACAGCGTATTCGGGGAGCCATTGAAAGATCCCTCCCATCAACATTTACAGGGCAAATTCTTTGTATATAATCAGAAACAAACCCAACTCCCTTCTAGCACTGATGATGTTACCTAATTGGGCCGTGAAACGTCCGCAAGAAAATAACCAAGCTCAGAGAGCAACAAAGACCCCACAGTCGTCCTCCTCCATGTCCACCCCCATCCTCTCCTCCTCTCCACAAACCCCCTCCCTTCTAGCACTGATGATGTTGGGTCATGAAACGTCTGCAAAAAAAACCACTCAGTGAACTTACTAACTTAACAGCTGCGGTGATTCAGTTAACGGGGCAAAAAAACTTGTACACTGGGGCAAAACTCACTGAACAAATATCTCACTTAGCAACAGAAATTGGCTCAGTTGTAGCCGTAACTTGAGGACTGCCTGTACATTTAAACTGGCGCTCTCTGAAACTACCCATTTTAATTCCTGGTTTATGGGGTTGTGTTTTTTTCACCTCTGCATCTCTTGCGGCTCTTAAAAAAATTTTGAATTGAGCTGGACCAGGCCTCTCCTGCCTGGCCACGTATTTTTGCCTATCTCACTCATAACTCATCCTTTTGGGGACTCTGATTTTGTTCACTTTTTACCCCAAAGCATGCAAAGGTACTATTCAGGGTATAGTATATGGCGCAACATGATGGAAAATGTTGAGAGGGGTCTTATTACAAGTTATCAAAATCCTTATGATAGGGGTATAAATGGACTTCTTTGGAAAACAAACATTTAACTGAGGGAAAGGGAAGAGTCCCAATAATAGAAAAAGGAAGAAATAGTTTCAAATTTGAGTCAATGTCTTTCACTGGGCAAGACACTATGTATCAGAAACTCTTTTTATAACATTTTAGCAGAATCCTTGCAAAGCAAAGCATAGCAACCAGTCCTGGATTTTTTTTTTTTCTTAAAAAAAAAGACTGAAAAAAATAACATTCAAAATAAAACCAAGGGCTGCCTGGTAAGATTGTGACAGGGTGGAGAAGATGCAAACAAAAAACAGAAAAAAAGCTTTGAATTTTAAGTGGAGGGGACGACCCATCAACCAGAAGGGCAATCTGTTGCAAGAGAGGCAGTCCCCATCAACCCCCGCCCAAGGCCGGCTAATAGGACTTGTAGTCCAAAGTATCTCCTGTACTGTACATATAACCATAATTTTATTTTTATTATTTTGTTTTGTATGTATTACATTTTCAGATTTTGTTTTGTAAAAACTAAGCATTTTAAGCAAGGGGGAACCTGCTCAACATGAGCAAAAAAAAAAAAAAAGTTGTTGCAAGAAAGGACCATCCCTATCAACAACCCCACCCACCCACCCAGGAGGTGGCTGATGGGACTTGCAATCCAAAACATTCCTCAGTAGAAGTCACCCTCTGGATCTCTCAATTCTAAAAAGCACTGTTGCAAAAATAATAAAAGTTGGAAGGGACCTTGGAGGTCATCTAGTCCAACCCCCTGCTCAGGCAGGAAACCCTATACCATTTTGGGCAAATGGCCATCCAGCCTCTTCTTAAAAACTTCCAGTGTTGGAGCATTCACCGCTTCTGGAGGCAGGTTGTTCCACTGGTTAATTGTAATAATACATAATAATAATAATGTTGAAAGGGACCTTGGAGGCCATCTAGTCCAACCCCCTGCTCAGGCAGGAAACCCTATATACCATTTCAGGCAAATGGCTGTCTAGTCTCTTCTTAATGGTGGGGATATTTTAAAAACAGCTTTTGCAGCGGGGGGGGGGGGGAAGGCAACCTCCAACCCTATTCCGGCCTCTCATGCAAAAGGGGAGACCCGCTGGCTGCCTGACGGATGGGGTTTGTAGTCCAAGGGTCACCGAGAGGGCGAAGGGTCCCCGGGTGGGGCGAAGCTTTGAGGACAAGGCATTTCACACCCGGCGTCGCAGCCGCCTAATCGCCTTCACCTGTGCGGCCGAGACCCACCTGGCCGTGATGAGCCTTCCCGCGCTCCGGGCCCGTTTCCATGGCAACCGCTCCGCCAGCAGGGGAGAGCCGACCGATTACACCTGTGTCTGCACGCGCAGGAGCACGCGCCTTTCCCGCCCAGCCCTTCGGACCGACTCGCGGGCTTTTTTTTCTGCACGCCCATCTCGCCCGTGATTGGCTGCTCCGAAAACGCGTCTCTCGGATTGGCTCAGCGGTCTGTCCCCTCGCCGAGAGGCGGGGACATTTAAAAAATCGGCAGGCTCCTCAGGCTGAGTGCAAAAAAGCAAAGCGAGCGCGCTGCGGAGGCAGCAGACGCCGCTACCGCGTCTCTCGGACCCCGAAAGGGACGATGCTGCGGGGCGCCGGGGGGCAAAAATGTCTCTCTCCGGTGCTCCCGCGGCCCAAGCCCTCGAGCTCGAGGCCGGGCAGGGCCTTTTGAGCTTTTGAGGTAATTCTAGCGGAGACTTTTCTAGTTGTAAGATACGGAGGGGAGCGCGAGTTCTTTAGCTAATTAATAGCTTATTGGTCTCGGGGAGTCCGGATAGCACCTGTGGTAATTTTAAGCGCGGCGTGTATTCTTAGAAGTAAAACGCCAGGGGTGGCTGAGGTAATAACGGTGTTTTATTTAAAGGACGCCAGTACCACAGGTGACTAAAGATACTTATCTCTGTCTTTCTCTCGGGGAATAACGCAAACCGCTGTTTCTTGAACTAATTCTAGTCGAAGCTCAAGCTCTTAAAATTTGAGGTAATTTCAGCCATGTCCTTTTTAAAAAGGACCAACCACCACAGGTGAATAAGAGTTAAAATTAGCTTTAAAGATAAAATTGCCTCAGGAGCAGACCTTCCTCTCAGGAATAAAGTAAATTTTTGGGGCCTGAGGGAATTTTAGCCAGGACTTCAAGTTCTTAGAATAAAATTTTGGTGGAACCTGAAGTAATCTCAGCCATGTCCTTTTAAAAAGGACCAAACCACCACAGGTGAATAAGAGTTAAAATTAGCTTTGGAGTAAAGTCTGAGGTAATCCTATCCATGTCCTTGCAGTAAGCTGAGGCAATTTTAGCCAGGTGTAGTTAAAAGGGCTAAACTACCACAGGTGAACAAGCATTAAAATTAGCTTAAAGGCAAAATGACTTCAGTCCCTGGAGTTGCCCTTTCTTGAATAGTCAGCTCTTGGGACCTGAGGAAGTTTTGGTCAAGGCTCAAATCTTTAAAAGAAGTAAAACATGTAGAGGATTAGTGGCTTCAAGTAACTAAAGGCAAAAAGTTAACTAAAATTACTTCAGGTCCTGGAGTTGACCTTACTTTTTTGAAATAAAGTCAGCTCTTGAAGAATTATTGAGGTAATTTTAGCCAAGGCACACATTTTAAAATATTGGTGGAATCTGTAGTAATCTCAGCCATGTCCTTTTAGAAGGACCAAACCACCATAAGCAAGTCAGAATTAAAAATAGTTTTAAAGGTAAAGATAAAATTACTCAGGAGCTGACCTTGCTCTCAGAAATAAAGTGATTTCTTGGGACCTGAAGTAACTTTAGTGGGCTCAAGTCCTTAAAAGAAGCAAAATATGTAGAGGACTAGCTACTTCAAGTAACTAAATAAAAAAGTTAACTAAAATTATTTAAAGTCAGGGAATTGGACTTATTTTCTTGAAATAAAGTCAATTCTGGAGGGTAATTTTAGCCAAGGCTCGGGTTCTTAGAGTAAAATATTGGTAGAACCTGAGATAATCTCAGCCTGGACAGCCATTTGTCTGAAATGCTATAGGGTTTCCTGCCTGAGCAGGGGGTTGGACTAGATGACCTCCAAGGTTCCTTCCAACTTTATTATTATTTTGTCCTTTTAAAAGGGACCCAAACCACCACAGGGAATAAGAGTTAAAATTAGCTTGGGGGTAAAGTGAGGTAATCTTAGCCATGTCCTTGCAGGCTAAAAAGTATTTCAAATAAGTAGAGGTGAAAGTTAACTAAAATTACTTCAGGCCCAGGACCTGGCTTAACTCTTAGGAAATTGCTTCAGTATCTGGAGTTGCCCTTATTTTCTCCCAAGTCAACTCTTGGGACCTGAGGAAATTTTAGTCAAGGCTCAAGTCCTTAAATGAAGCAAAACATATAAACGATGACTAGTTGCATGGTCTGAAGAATTCTCAAGGGGATAATGTTCCAATTCATTGTATATTGTTTTCTTTCACTTGTAGGATAAAACACAAAAATCCCCTTTTGATTGATTGCTTTTCTAGTCTCTGAACATAAGCTGGTCATTTGGTGATGTTGATTTTTTTTTAATTTCAAAGGCATGAATCCATATAGACGAAGAAGAAGACACCAACAGTAAGACAGGTGGTTTAATTCATTCTCCAGTATATCATGAAAGTGTGGAAGCCTGGCAGATACTGTTTGCAACATGTTTATTCCTGTAAAAATTGTTTACAAAGTATCAATGGTAAAAAAAAAAATTGAGCTGTCCCAATTTTAGCTATTAGCTGCGGTTCTTAGAATTAGACAGGGTCCTACGAGCATCCCACATACCCACAGACATGGCGATTTTGGTGATGCCCCCCCCTGGTGGAGGTCTTTCAGTCCCTGAGCTTCCACTCTGTGACACTCACACTGAATGAGCCGGGGAAGCAAACTGCTACCTGTCTCATTGAATCCCTGAGCAAACACTGTGGGGGACTCACACTGGAAGTCCTCTCTGGGGTGGGGCTGGGTGACCCTTTCAGTCCCTGAGCACGCACTGAGGGCGAATCACACTGGTAGAGTGAACAGGGTCCACTCCTCCAATGCCTGAGGACCCCCTCAGTGAGACTCAAACTGGAAGGCAATCCTTTGCAATCGCCTCACACTAGAAATAAGGCGTCCTTGGTGGTCTCTGAGCTTGGTGGTTTTCTTGTAGACGTTTCATTAGCAAACTAGGGAACATCATCAGTGCTAGTAGAAGGGAGTGTGGTTTGCTGTCAGGTTATGTTCGAGTAGCTTCTTTCAGTGTTGTTTAAAATGGTCTTGGAGGTCCTTTGTTGTGCTATTTGTTGTTAGCTTGACCGTTCCTTGATTGCGGTGTTGTTTTCTTGCCATGGCGATGGCTTTTAGAACCTGAAATAAAACTTCAACGGCCATTTTTAATATTAGCTGTGGCCGTTGAGGTTAGGGTTTTCTAGCTTTGCAGACTGAGCGGAGGAAGAATCGCACACCTGCTGCTAAAAGTTCCTCGAAAGAGACAACACTTGCTGGCCACGACTGAGGAAGAAACAAAAGCAAAAGAAGAAAGAAGAAAGCATGAAAATGTCTCCAGCTCAAGCCCTTCGGCTGTGATGTGGTCTCCTACGCTGTGAGGTAAGTTTAGCTGAGTCTTGTATTCTTCAAAGTTTTGTGATATGGAGGGAGGTGGATGGTCCTTCCTAGGTGAGTAACACCTGCAACTGAGGTAATAGTAAGCACTACGTACTGTGCATTCTTAGGAGTAAAACTTCAATGGCAGCTGAAGTAATGTTAGGTTTTGGTTATCTCAAAGGCATGTATTCTACACCACCTTAGAAGACAGAAGTCTCAGTCGTCAGCCTGCGCCGTTGATGGAAGAAGGAAGAATGGAACGCAAGAATGAATATGATCTCCATCAAGAATGCTACTTCACCAAGTCAATCAAAACTCACCTTTAGATGCTAGATTTTATACCATTCTTGCCTGCTGTAAATTTAGCCATGGCGATGGTTATTAGAACCAAAAAAACCCTCCTCAATGGCCCTATTTAATCCTAGGCATGGCTGTTGATGGATTATAGATTTTATAGTTTTCTGCCTGGCGTAATTCTAGCCATGGCAATGGTTCTTAGAACCAGAAGGAAAACCTCATTGGCCCTTTTAAATGACTGGTGTGGCCAGTGCTTGGTAACAGATTTTATAATTTTCTGCCTGGTGTAATTTTAGCCCTGGCGATGGTTCTTAGAACCAGAAAGAAAACCTCATTGGCCCTTTTAAATGACCAGTATGGGGCCAGTGATTAATAATAGATTTTATAGTTTTCTGCCTGGCGTAATTTTAGCCCTGGCGATGGTTCTTAGAACCAGAAATAAAACCTCATTGGCTCCTTTAAATGACCATTGTGTGGCCAGTGATTGATTAATAGATTTTATAATTTTCTGCCTGGCATAACTCTAGCCCTGGCAATGGTTCTTAGAACCAGAAAGGAAATCCCTCAACGGCCCTATTTAATGCTAGGTGGGGCCATTGATCTATAAAAGATGTTAGAGTTTTTGAATCTCTGAGATTGAGGGGAGGAACAATTGCACACCTGCTGCCAATGTTCCTCGAAAGAGTCAAAACTTGCTGGGCATGGCAGAAGGAGAAAAAGCAAAAGAATAAAGAAGAGAGCATGAAAATGTCCCACAGCACAATCCCTGTGATGTGGCATCCTACACTGTGAGGTAAGTTTAGCCGAGTCTTGTATTCTTCAAAGTTTTAGGATATGGAGGGAGGTGGCCCATTATGTTTAGATACATATACCACTTATGTCTGGGGTAGTAGCAAGCACTGTATTGTGCATTCTTAGGAGTAAAACTCCAGTAGCTGCTGAAGTAACATTGATTTTTTTAGTTCAAAGGCATGAATCCAAGCTGACCTGTAGACGAAGAAGAAGACACCAACAGTAAGACAGATGGTTTAATTCTTATAACTGAAAGTAAACATGATGATGCTTTTTAATGCGAGGAATACCAATAAAGGAGAATATTTATGGCTCAAAGTTGAAATGAGGCGTCCTTGGTGCTCTCTGAACTTGGTGGTTTTCTCGTAGATTTTTCATTACCCAACTAGGGAACATCATCAGTGCTAGTAGAAGGGAGTGTGGCTTGCTGTCAGGTTATGTTTGAGTGGCTTCTTTCAGTGTTGTTGAAAATCATCTTAGCGGTTCTTTGTTGCGCTATTTGTTGTTAGGTTATTTGACCGTTCCTTGATTGCGGTATTGTTTTGTTGCCCTAGAGATGGTTTTTAGAACCCGAAATAAAACCTCAATGGCCATTTTTAATATTAGCTGTGGCCGTTGATCTAGAAAAGAGGTTAGGGTTTTCTAGCTTTGCAGACTGAGTGGAGGAACGATCGCACACCTGCTGCCAAAAGATCCTCGAAAGAGACAAGACCTGCTAGGCACGACTGAGGAAGAAACATAAGCAGAAGAAGATAGAAGAGAGCATGAAAATGTCTCCAGCTCAAGCCCTTCGGCTGTGATGTGGCCTCCTACACTGTGAGGTAAGTTTAGCCGAGTCTTGTATTCTTCAAAGTTTTGGGATATGGAGGGAGGTGGATGGTCCTTCCTAGGTGAGTAACACCTGCAACTGAGGTAATAGTAAGCACTACGTACTGTGCATTCTTAGGAGTAAAACTCCAATGGCAGCTGAAGTAATGTTAGGTATTTTTTATCTCAAAGGCATGTATTCTACACCACCTTAGAAGACAGAAGACTCAGTCGTCAGCCTGCGCCGTTGATGGAAGAAGGAAGAATGGAACGCAAGAATGAATATGATCTCCATCAAGAATGCTACTTCACCAAGTCAATCACAACTCACCTTTAGATGCTAGATTTTATACCATTCTTGCCTGCTGTAAATTTAGCCATGGCGATGGTTATTAGAACCAAAAAAACCCTCCTCAATGGCCCTATTTAATCCTAGGCATGGCTGTTGATGGATTATAGATTTTATAGTTTTCTGCCTGGCGTAATTCTAGCCATGGCAATGGTTCTTAGAACCAGAAGGAAAACCTCATTGGCCCTTTTAAATGACTGGTGTGGCCAGTGCTTGGTAACAGATTTTATAATTTTCTGCCTGGTGTAATTTTAGCCATGGCAATGGTTCTTAGAACCAGAAAGAAAACCTCATTGGCCCCTTTAAATGACCATTGTGTGGCCAGTGATTAATAATAGATTTTATAGTTTTCTGCCTGGCGTAATTTTAGCCCTGACAATGATTCTTAGAACCAGAAATGAAATCCCTCAGTGGCCCTTTTTAATGCTAGGTGGGGCCATTGATCTATAAAAGATGTTAGAGTTTTTGAACCTCTGAGATTGAGGGGAGGAACAATTGCACGCCTACTGCCAATGTTCCTCGAAAGGGACGTGGGCAGAGGAAGAAGGAAAAGAATGAAGAAGAAAGAAGAAAATGAAAATGTCTCCAGCTTAAGCCCTTCAGCTGTGATGTGGCCTCCTACGTTGTGAGGTAAGTTTAGCTGGGACTTGTATTTTTCAAAGTTTTAGGATATGGAGGGAGATGGATGATCTTTCACTACTGGATGGTCCTTCCTAGGTAAGTAACACCTGCAACTTAGGTAATAGTAAGCACTACGTACTGTGCATTCTTAGAAGTAAAACTCCAATGGCAGCTGAAGTAATGTTAGGTCTTTTTTTTATCTCAAAGGCATGTACTCTACACCACCTTAGAAGACAGAAGACTCAGCTGTCAGCCTGCGGCATTGATGGAAGAAGGAAGAATGGAACCCAAGAATGAATATGATCTCCATCAAGAATGCCCCTTCACCAAGTCAATCACAACTCACCTTTAGATGATAGATTTTAGAGCATTCTTGCCTGCTGTAAATTTAGCCATGGCGATGGTTATTAGAACCAAAAAAAACTCCTCAATGGCCCTATTTAATCCTAAGTATGGCTGTTGATGGATTATAGATTTTATAGTTTTCTGCCTGGCGTAATTCTAGCCCTGGCAATGGTTCTTAGAACCAGAAGGAAAACCTCATTGGCCCCTTTAAATGACCAGTATGTGGCCAGTGATTGATAATAGATTTTATAGTTTTCTACCTGGCATAACTCTAGCCCTGGCAATGGTTCTTAGAACCAGAAATGAAACCTCATTGGCCCTTTTAAGTGACCATTGTATGGCCAGTGATTAATAATAGATTTTATAGTTTTCTGCCTGGTGTAATTTTAGCCCTGGCGATGGTTCTTAGAACCAGAAAGGAAATCCCTCAATGGTCCTTTTTAATGCTAGGTGTGGCTATTGATCTATGAAATATTTTTGAATCTCTGAGATTGAGGGGAGGAACAATTGCACGCCTGTTGCCAAATGTTCCTTGAAAGAGACAAGACTTGCTGGGCATGGCAGAGGAAGAAGGAAAAGAAGAGAGCAAGAAAATGTCTCCAGCCTAACTGTTTTAACCTTCGGCTGTGATGTGGCGTCCTACCCTGTAAGGTAAATTTAGCTGAGCCTTGTATTCTTCAAAGGTTTGGGATATGGAAGGAGGTGTATGGTCTCCCACTAACTAATGGTCCCTTATGCCTAGGTAAGTAAGGGTAATATTAATATTCTTAATAGTAATATTAATATTCTTAATAGTAAAACTCCAGTGCCAGCTGATATAACTTTGATTTTTTTTTTTTAATCTCAAAGGCGTGTACACTACACCACCTTAGGAGCCAGAAGACTCAGCTGTCAGCCTGCGGCGTTGATGGAAGAAGAAGGAATGGAACGCAAGAATGAATATGATCTCCATCAAGAATGCCCCTTCACCAAATCAATCACAACTCACCTTTAGATGATAGATTTTATACTATTCTGTAGTTCTTACAACTTGGAAGGGAACACAGAAGCATTCCACATGCCCATCCATCGTGTAAATAATAGTGATGACTTATTTGTAGAGGTCTTTCAGTCCCTGAGCTTCGTCTGTGTGACACTCACACTGAATGGTCTCTCTGGAACAATGGAGGGAGGGGCATCACAAGGGCATCTTCACAAAGACAGCTTGACTCGCAACTCAAACAAAAGAGGAGTAGCAAGGCCAGAGCAGGAGCAGTTTATGCTGTGACCTGGGGGGGCGCACAGACAAACATCAAGGCTGATGTGGCTGCTGGAACAGCGGGCATCTTGTGAGGGAAGGGCGGGCCAATGGCAAGGGCTGGGGGGCTGATGCGACTGCTTGCGCCTGGGGAGGGAGGGGCGGGCCAATGGCAAGGGCTGGGGGGCTGATGCGACTGCTTGCGCCTGGGGAGGGAGGGGCGGGCCAATGGCAAGGGCTGGGGGGCTGATGCGACTGCTTGCGCCTGGGGAGGGAAGGGCAGGCCAATGGGATGGGCTGGGGGGCTGATGCGACTGCTTGCGCCTGGGGAGGGAGGGGCGGGCCAATGGCAAGGGCTGGGGGGCTGATGCGACTGCTTGCGTCTGGGGAGGGAAGGGCGGGCCAATGGGAAGGGCTGGGGGGCTGATGCTTGCGCCTGGGGAGGGAGGGGCGGGCGAATGGCAAGGGCTGGGGGGCTGATGCGACTGTTGCGCCTGGGGAGGGAAGGGCGGGCCAATGGGAAGGGCTGGGGGGCTGATGCGACTGCTTGCGCCTGGGGAGGGAAGGGCGGGCCAATGGCAAGGGCTGGGGGGCTGATGCGACTGCTTGCGCCTGGGGAGGGAGGGGTGGGCCAATGGCAAGGGCTGGGGGGCTGATGCGATTGCTTGCGCCTGGGGAGGGAGGGGCGGGCCAATGGCAAGGGCTGGGGGGCTGATGCGACTGCTTGCGCCTGGGGAGGGAAGGGCGGGCCAATGGCAAGGGCTGGGGGGCTGATGCGACTGCTTGCGCCTGGGGAGGGAGGGGCGGGCCAATGGCAAGGGCTGGGGGGCTGATGCGACTGCTTGCGCCTGGGGAGGGAGGGGCGGGCCAATGGCAAGGGCTGGGGGGCTGATGCGATTGCTTGCGCCTGGGGAGGGAGGGGCGGGCCAATGGCAAGGGCTGGGGGGCTGATGCGACGGCCTTGACGCTGGGGAGGGAAGGGCGGGCCAATGGCAAGGGCTGGGGGGCTGATGCGACTGCTTGCGCCTGGGGAGGGAAGGGCGGGCCAATGGGATGGGCTGGGGTGCTGATGCGACTGCTTGCGTCTGGGGAGGGAGGGGCGGGCCAATGGGAAGGGCTGGGGGGGCTGATGCGACTGCTTGCGCCTGGGGAGGGAGGGGTGGGCCAATGGCAAGGGCTGGGGGGCTGATGCGATTGCTTGCGCCTGGGGAGGGAGGGGCGGGCCAATGGCAAGGGCTGGGGGGCTGATGCGACTGCTTGCGCCTGGGGAGGGAAGGGCGGGCCAATGGCAAGGGCTGGGGGGCTGATGCGACTGCTTGCGCCTGGGGAGGGAGGGGCGGGCCAATGGCAAGGGCTGGGGGGCTGATGCGACTGCTTGCGCCTGGGGAGGGAGGGGCGGGCCAATGGCAAGGGCTGGGGGGCTGATGCGACTGCTTGCGTCTGGGGAGGGAAGGGCGGCCAATGGAAGGGGCCTGGGGGGCTGATGCGACTGCTTGCGTCTGGGGAGGGAGGGCGGCCAATGTCAAGGGGCTGGGGGGCTGATGCGACTGCTTGCGCCTTGGGAGGAGAGGGCGGGCAACTGGCAAGGGCTGGGCGGCTGATGCGACTGCTTGCGCCTTGGGAGGGGAGGGCGGGCAACTGGCAAGGGCTGGGGGGTTGATGCGACTTCTTGCGCCTTGGGAGGAGAGGGAGGGCAACTGGCAAGGGCTGGGGGGCTGATGCGACTGCTTGCGCCTTGGGAGGGGAGGTCGGGCAAATGGCAAGGGCTGGGGGGCTGATGTGACTGCGCCGGGAGGGAAGGGAGGGCAACTGGCAAGGGCTGGGGGGCTGATGCGACTTTTTGCGCCTTGGGAGGGGAGGGCGGGCAAATGGCAAGGGCTGGGGGGCTGATGCGACTGCTTGCGCCTTGGGAGGGGAGGGCGGGCAACTGGCAAGGGCTGGGGGGCTGATGCGACTGCTTGCGCCTTGGGAGGGGAGGGCGGGCAACTGGCAAGGGCTGGGGGGTTGATGCGACTTCTTGCGCCTTGGGAGGGGAGGGCGGGTAAATGGCAAGGGCTGGGGGGGCTGATGCGACTGCTTTTCGTCTGGGGAGGGAGGGGCGGGCCAATGGCAAGGCTGTGGGGGGCTGATGCGACTGCTTGCGCCTGGGGAGGGAAGGGCGGGCCAATGGGATGGGCTGGGGGGCTGATGCGACTGCTTGCGCCTGGGGAGGGAGGGGCGGGCCAATGGGAAGGGCTGGGGGGCTGATGCGACTGCTTGCGCCTGGGGAGGGAGGGGCGGGCCAATGGGAAGGGCTGGGGGGCTGATGCGACTGCTTGCGCCTGGGGAGGGAGGGGCGGGCCAATGGCAAGGGCTGGGGGGCTGATGCGACTGCTTGCGCCTGGGGAGGGAGGGTCGGGCCAATGGGAAGGGCTGGGGGGCTGATGCGACTGCTTGCGCCTGGGGAGGGAAGGGCGGGCCAATGGGAAGGGCTGGGGGGCTGATGCGACTGCTTGCGCCTTGGGTTGTGCACTGGGGCAAAAGCCATACTGGCCTTGCTGTTCACCTGTGCGCCCCCCCAGCCTCTCTTCCCCCCACACACCGGCCTTGCTCCTCCTCCCCTCTTTTGTTTGAGTTGCAAGCCAAGCTTTCTTTGTGAAGCCCCCTTGAAGCACCCGCCCCTCCTTCTCTGGTCCCCCCAAATACACTCTCGCCTGACTGCCTCCGCAATGGCCCCAGCGGCTGTGACTCCTGCCCCCACTCCCCCTCCTTCCGGTCCTGGCGACAGCTGCAAGGGCCCAAACGTGTGGAGCAGCCACAGACCACAGGTTCTGCGATCCCCCATCGCACGCTGCCCCCGCAGCACCATGGCTCCTGCCTGCCACCCGATTGGCTGCGGGTACTCATCCCGTGCAGCCAAAGGCCTGGGACAAAGATTGTCAGTTGAATTGGCGGGCCGAAGGGCAGAGGGCCAAGGGCCCATTGGTGGTGGTGACTGGCTGGGGCAGGGCAGCGGAGGAGAAAAACTGCCTGTAAATGTGCTGAGGCGAGTGGCAGGGGGCGAAGGAGGCGTAGCCAAGGGACCTTTCCTAAACACCCCATTCCGCTCCTGACGGGGGTCTTCCTGACCCTGAGTTACCACTCTGTGACCCTCACCCTGAATGAGAAGGTGGCCAGTCGGCTCCCAGTCTCCTTCGGTCCGGGAGCAGAGTCACACCGGAAGGGAGACCCTTTCGGTTGCAACCAGGGCAAATCACACTGGAGGAGTCAACAGCGCTCAACTACAAGCTTCCTCCGGTGCCTGAGGGATCCCCAGCTGAGTCTCAAACTGGAAGGGAATCCTTTTGGATGGATTCCCTCCCACTTTCATACCCGGAGAAATAATGTCAGTTGCAGCCAGATCTCTTAGAATCAAAAGTAAATCTGGTGTAGAACTTTGCTATGAGGTATTGCCATCTCAATAAATTAATAACTAGATTTTTTTGCTAGGGAGAGACATTAAGTCCTCATACTGGAAAATAAATCTGTGTGGCCCTGTTTAATTTTTGATGTGGCCATTGAAACCCTGAGCAGATTTCTTGCCTGGCTTAATTTAGGCATGATGTTGGTTCTTAGAACCAGAAAACATCTCAATGGCCCATTTAAATGACTAGTGTGGCCGGTGATTAATAATAGATTTTATAATTTTCTGCCTGGTGTAAATTTAGCCATGGCAATGGTTCTTAGAACCAGAAAGAAAACCTCAACGGCCCTTTTAAATGACTAGTGTGTAGCCAGTGACTGATAAAAGATCTATTTTTCCGCCTGGGAATAACTTTATCCTTGGCTGTTTAAAATGTGTAAGTTATGTTTTGACTGGTAAATAATCATGACACACAGTATGTGGCTGTCATCTCAATAATTTTGATTTCTTTTGTCATGCAGATTTATCTTTTTGTTTCTGAAATATCTCTAAATGTGATTCAGACTTGGTAACATTCTGTTTGATCTGTATTTTTTGTAATAAAGTTGAGTTTTACTTCTGATTTACTGTTGTTAAGTAGTTGTAATGCTTATGGTAGACAAGATATTTAATCTTTTGCCTGTTTTTTTGTATCCTTTATGTATCCGTTCTTATCACCCTCTCTTCACCAAGAGATACCTGTTGTGATATTCATGTATTTGAATACTGAAGTTGCGTTTTCTTTCTTCTGAGAGAAATCTTTTGATGACAACTGTTGTTTCTTTTACACCTCACCTTTTTATCAAAAATGTCATTTTAAATTAGTGAACTATTTGACCCATCATGATATTTTATCATTGCTTTTGTAACTTTTACAATAATAAAAATGTGACTATTTATCCCTAAAATATTGGATGATATTTTTATGCATTTTATCTTTAGGACTGTATTATGTTTTGAATTGTACAAACTGTTGCAGCTGGGTTTATGCTTGGAAGATGTGATGCTTGTGTTAAACAATAAAGTAGTCAAGTCTTTCTTGCCTACATTTGTGATCCCGCAGTCAGAGTTTGGATCTGTTGGGCACTTTGTGCTTCTGCTCTTCGCTGAAGTCACCAGGGATCACTTTTTGTAAGGATTTGGGGTTTTGATGTATTCAGAAATGTCCTCCTCTACCAAAATAAACTTCCAATGAAATTATTTTTGCACTTTTCATAAAATTATTTTTGATTTCTCTTTTTTTATAGAGATTGTATTGATTTTCTTTTACATACATATGTTAATTTTCCAATCAACGAGCTGTCTGGGATTAGCTATGCTAATACATATTCGATTTCTAATCATTCTTTCCTCTAACCAACAATAAAATAAGTCCCAAATTTGGTAGTAATCTGTGTCTTCTTTATCTTTCAATCTCATAGTTAATCTGTCCATCTCTGCGCATTCCAATATTTTTCTGATTATTTCTTCCTCTGATGGCAGTCCTTCACTCTTCCAATATTGCGCAAAGATTATTCTCGCTGCTGTAGTGACATGTAAAATCAAATGTAGACTCTGCTTATTAATCTTTTCAGGCATTATACCTGGTAAAAAAGGTTCAGGTTTAAAATCAACATGTTCACCTAATATTTTTTCCAACCACA